TTCTTCTTCTTCTTCTTCTTCTTCTTCTTCTTCTTCTTCTTCTTCTTCTTCTTCTTCTTCTTCTTCTTCCCTCCAACACCTCCTCACATAAGAAATGGCAGGGAGCCATAGGCACACAGTTGTTGAAAGTGGCCCAATAGACACAAAATGCCATCTTTGCTAAAAGAAAGCCTTGAAGAAACATATATGGATGAGCTGGGCACAGCAAATGAGTAATGTATTAATATCTCTGTAATGAACCTTGATCATTTTGGTCCTCTTGTTTTCTCTGCTGAGCCTTCAATTTCTCCTAAATTCTGGTTTAATTAGGACAGTAATGCCTAGCTTTCAGTTCCTTCCCTTTGTTTGTATCCCTACCCCCAAAATACATACAGAGACACAGGACCATACAATCACATACAGACAAATTACCAGTGTGCAGGGGTGCAGCTGATAAACGTTTGGGGGAAAATAATGCTATATAATTATATGCCTGATAGCAACAGTAGGTTTTGCTGCTATAGCTAACTGCTAAATTCCAACCCATTGGTAAAACACTTCACAAAAAGAATGTTGATGCAATCATATTTATATGTAGGCACATTGTGGTGCTTTATAATTCAGTCTACATCCTGAAGATTTTAAAACTTGAAAAGGCTCACTTCTGAAAAGACTCTTTCAGATACCATGGTCTAGAATCCTATGGGTCATAACCAATACTTTGAATTGCACCTGGGTACAATACTTTGAGTTGTGTATCTGTATAAACTGGCAACCAGTGGAGCTGTTGCAGCGTGGGAATCAGGAATTTCCCTATGATCTGTCTCCGCTCATGATTCAAAGCTTCTAAATCCTCCTCAAAGGGTGTCTATGTGGAATATATTGCAAGACTCCAAAATATTGTCTGTAGATTGATCTGACACCTCCAAAAACAAGCTCACGGTTGGTTCCCTAGTTTCAACAGTGCCAGAGCACTTTGGATTCACTACTGTAACTGGTGTCTGGATCCAGGAGATAGATTTGTGGGAAATGCTAGACTTACATATTACACTAAGATATGGTTTTCTTAACACCTTTAATAAACAGATATCAAATTGTTTTATTAAATACACCACAACTGACATTGTTGCCTCAACATACTAAGCCAAACCACAGTGGCCAGCTTCATGCAATGCACCAAACCCTACCAGCACACAGCATAGCTTAGAATTATATGTCAGCTCATTTTCTAAACCATTTTTTCCTGATCTCCCTTTCTCCTGACTTGGAGAAGAACCTTCTGTCCATTAGTGATAGCAATACTAGTGAAGAACTTGTACAGCTTCCTTGGTTTTCTACAGCAAGGAGAAATAAAGTTGGATGTCAGCCAGCACATTAGAAATATCAGACCCCTCGCGCATCTCAAATTCTGTCCAATGCCTCCAGTGATTTCAGGGTATTAATTAGTACATGGAACACATCAATTTTTAAATGCCAGTCAGAATAAGTCATTATGTGACAATTTCAGTAAACTCGTGTTATAATCTGTTTGAAAAGCACAAGATTGTTCAAGAGTATCCTATTTTTTTTTTTATTACAGGCTTATGCATTCCCAAGTTGTTCTACAATTCACAGAATTCAGAATATCAGTTCCAAAGAAATAAACTTTTTCGAGCTTAGCTGTACAGAAGAAAGAATCATAATTTAATGGGATCTAAACTCTTGACTGTGCTTCACAGCTGTAGGACAAATATAATTAATATAACAATGTAAACCCAATTTTTCACACTGCACAGTCTAATGTTTTAATTAAATTTGCTCTCGGCTTTAAAGGAAAAGTGATATGAATATTACAAGAAATTCTGTTTCTGGTGATAAAAGGAAAAGTGGCGAGAGAAAGGGAGAGTAGAATCTCTGAATTATCCAGTTGTTTTGGAATAATGAAAGTCAAGTCTTTTGATTTCCTTGTACTTAATATTTCTCTTACAATGCCCAAATGCTTAACCTCAGATAAATAAATACATTGGGCTGCATCTCACTGTACTTTCTTGCTTTGTTAAGAGAGAGAAAGAATGTGCAGTATTGTACCCATTCAACATATTTTCTTTATAGGCGGTTCTCTGAACAACAGCAGCCGACGGCGGATCTCATGTAAAGATTTGGGGCACGGTGATTGCGAAGGCTGGTTATGGAAGAAGAAAGACGCCAAAGGTTACTTCACCCAGAAGTGGAAAAAATACTGGTTTGTCCTGAAGGATTCTTCCCTCTACTGGTATACTAACCAAAATGTGAGTACCTACCACAATTACAAGGAAGACAGAACCTGTAAACTGTATAATGGGATTTGTTTGTTTTAAAGAAGGGGGGGGGGAAGCTGAGAAGGTAGGAGAACCTTCCAATAAATTAATAGCTTGGTCACCAGAGGCAGATAGAATTTTTATGCAGACAAGGGATTGAGTTGATAAATGAGGGATGAAGTGCCCTGTCAGACTTCTGCACCTAACACAGAAATGGGCTGCTACAGAATGAAGCTGCCTCCCTTGACCCAGTAAGAAATACAGTTTCAGTCCTTCTGCTGATGTAGACTGTTGATACGTGTGGACAATCTGGAGATGTCCTTGGAGGTGACAATTTGGAGATATCCATATCCTTGATCCATGGATCAAGGTGATATTCAGCCACTGCACAGATGAAGCAATGTGAGGGTTCGGTGTGTTGCCCATTTGTGTGTGTGTAGATAGATGGATGATTGATAGATAGACAGACAGACAGATGTTTTTCTATCATTTTTTGGAGAAGGAAGGAATTGGGAAACCAGGGGTGCTGAGCACAATCCAAGCCAAATGTGAATTTCACAGTTCAAACAATTTCAGAGTAAACTGGCTTCCCAAATGGCAGTGCTGAGCTGGTTTAAGGTTGCAATAAATCCATCAGGCTTATAGCAAAGCTGTAAATTCAGTCAAGCTTCACAGGCATATAAGCAGACACACCAGGTAAGGAGCAGGAAAAGCAGGGAGAGAGAAAGACAATCTGAAGGCAAACTGAGTCAAATTCCAAGGAAGTCTTGGCAGCCAGGAGTTTTAGAGCAGGAACCTTTACAAATCAGCAAAGTTCTAACCACCTTCTTGAGTGCAAGTCACTCATTCAATATCAGCAACCTTGAATATCACCTAAACAAAGCTGGTCCTGATCAGATCTGGCTTTCATCAGCAAGTTGTTCTTAAGTAGCCCTGTCAGGTCCACCTGTTCTTCAACACAGCCAAGCAGTCCTCCATCCATCTTTTGGTGCTTACCCTTTAAGCACTGGATTTCTTGAGAGCTCCTAGAGGAGCTCATCATTTAAGTTAAGAACTCCTGGTTTAGATCAGTCTGCTGGATCTAGGGCAGGAGGGCTGAGGCTAGATCTTGATAGCACAGGGTCTGTTTCTTGAGATGTCTCCTCCCAGGTTTCTTCCTCATCTGAGGAGAACTCTTGTAACCAAACCGTGACACAGAGGCAGAAGATGGCTTCTGGGCCAGGGCCTTTTAGTGTTAATCCAATGTCCAGCAATGGAAAAGTGCATGGAACAAACTCTAAAAAATGGATGGAGCCAAGATAGAAACTAACTTTGTGATAATGTCAATTGCATTCCTTTACAACTGAATCTGTTAAATATCTTTTGATTGCTCTCAACACGTTTAAGATTTCCCCCCATTATTCATACTAAGAATTCCAGTTCAACAGCCTCTTTTGAAGGAACTGTGGAAGTTGCATACAGCTCAGTATCAAAGACCGTATACTGCTGTAAGAAGCACATGGTTTCAGTGAGGACTGACCCAAGAACAGCTTGATTAATTGGCCATTCTTACCTGGGAACAAGCCCCTTTAAACAGAGTGGGATTTACTTCTAAGTAACAGGCACGATACTGTGCAGAAAGCTGAAAGACCAATGCTTTGTGAACAAGTGTGCTGGAAAACAATGAAAGTGAAGTATTTGGAAACAGCATCTTCCTATGTGTTTGATTCACTTTCAGCCAACTGATTGTTAATAAGGCAACTATGCAGGTCATTTTGATCACTCAATAAATATGTCAGTCAGGTCTTTATTATGGTCTTAGACCAGTTCAGCAAATATGATTAGTTATCCTCTATTTCATCTCCTCCTTCTGCAGCCTGAGGTTGTTTCTGGATTCAACTGGCAATAAAAACACCCACTCCCAGCATGAACATAGATGCTTGCACGTACTAGATGTGAGAAAAATCACATTAAACAAAAGACAAACTGTACCCCTTAGTTAATTTTTCATCCAGCAATGCTGGAAGGGAAGTTTACATCTGGAAGGATGGTTGAAAGGTTAGCAATGTCCTCTAAAGCAAGAGTCAGCAACTTTGTGATGCCCGTTTTTACAGGAGGGAGTGTGGACAGGACAATGCTACAGTAACACGCCACTCGTGTCATGCAGGTGAACAGAAGCATCATTTTTGGTTTTTCCTATATTTTTTTTTCTAGAAATCATATTCCAGATGTCTGAATTTCCCCTGCTGTGTAATGTATAGTATATCAGGGAGCCATTCTTGCTTCAATTTGATTAGACTTCTGTTACGGATATATACTGTCAATTTTGCCATTGCTGCATGTTCTCCAATTTTGGTCTCCCAAAATTTGTTCTTGCAGCTATCAGCATATACCTTAGTAAATTGTGATATTTTTCATTCATGTTTTCCGGGATGATTGATTGATTGATTGTGCCATCCAGTCATTTTCAACTCCTAGTGACCACATAGATAGATTTTCTCCATGGCGATCTATCTCTAACCTCAAGTCTTCCAACGGGGCACTCATTGCCACTGTGAGTCCATCCACCTTGCTGCTGGTTGTCGTCTTCGTCTCTTTCCTTCCACCTTTCCTAGCATCAGATCCTTCTCTAGAGAGCTGAGTCTTTGCATAATGTATCTGAAGTAGGATAATTTGAATCTGATCATTTGTGCCTCGCGTGAGAACTCTGAGTTGATTTGTTCGATGATCCATTGGTTTGTTTTCTTGGCTGTCCACAGTATTCTCAAGAGTCTTCTGCAAACCAGCATTCAAAGGCATCAATAGTCTTTTGATATATTTCTTCCAGTACTTTTGATGGTTTCTTTTAATGTATATAACCACCAATACGATAAAATGTTCTTTCTTTGTTATGACATTTCCAGCATTTATTGTTATATGATTTGGCTATTTTGGTCATTATTGCTAGAATTATGTACCACCTATAAAACATTTTGTACCAATTTTCCCTTGACTCATTACTTGGAGGAAATTTTACTGATTTTTTTCCATAAGTCTTTCCATTATTTCTTTGAAGCTTTGCATCACTTTATCATATACTTGTTGATTTGTTCCATCTTAGTGCTATATTTCAATAACAATTTGTATACAGTATATCTCCCAATAGGTGATCCTGGTTTTTGTGTGTTTCAAGTTCTGTCATCTTAAAGTCCCTCATTCTTTCTTGAGAACACTTCTTATCTTTCCAGCACTTTGTAAATACGTCAACCATGCTAAATTCCTGCCTTCGTGGACAATTCTTGTTGTGTTTTCAGTCTGTTTCCTGCACCTGGATGTATCATGTTGGCATATGTGATTAAATCTTTCTTACTATAGTCATCCTTGGAGTAAAAAGCATTTGATGGTGATGCTAATGGGGAAATTGCCAGACTTATCCTTGCTTTTAAAAGATTCCAATTTTTAGCAAACTTTGTCTTATAATATGTCCTTTCTGATTATTATCTTCTTTTGTTTCTTTGTACCATAAATACCTGTGAACTCTACTGGCTAGGCCTGCTCCTTTTATGACTGATGTTCTGTTATTTGGAGATTTTATTCATTCTGTTGTCCATGATAGACAGCTTGCACGATAATATAATTAAGGTTAGGAAATGCAAAGCCACCTCTGTCTTTTGGATTTTGCAAATCTTAAATCTTACTCTCAGATTCC